AAAGTATGATTAAATTTCAATCCTTTAAATAGAAATGTGAATGATACACTATAAGTTATAGATAAAATGAAAATAAAAATATCATGATCTCTCAAGTTAATTTCATGTAAATTCAGATTAAATATCATTGTTATTATTTTAATAGGTAACAGATATAAGATTATAGTTGAAAGTTAAAATATGAGTTAAATTAATTTAATTATATACACAATATGTAAATTATAATCAATTAGTACATACTAAATATTAGATTTGAACCAAACACAACTTAATGTTATTAAAAATAATTCGATATCTAAGATGTTATACTTCTCTATACACACATATATATCTTTGGAAAAATCAATTTCTAACTTTGTTATACTTCTCAATATATATCATATCTTTATATATATGTATGTTGTTATAAATATTTTTAGCAACTGTAGTTATCCGGAGGTGCTGAAAATTGAGTATTTAACTGTATATATCTTTCTATTCGATAGATTTCATTATTATTTTAACTATCATTTATTTACCGTCTTAATTATTAATTATTAGCAGTTGATTTATGTAATTTTGAAGAATTGAAATTAAATAGTAATAAATAATTAATAAGATAATAATTATACAACAAAACAAATAGAAAAATAAAAATCTTACGCTTGCAGTGAGACTTGCAAATCGGCGAATCACAGTCGACGTGACAAACTTTAGCTTTAGGGTTTTCGGAATAAGTTGAAGGACATTGGTAAGGGCATTCTATACGCTTTCCATAACATCGGCTTCCTGGGTTATTGCAGTACACAGATGCAGCTTCTGTTTCTTGGATAAATATCAGACCTGCAACAAACACCATTGCCATGGCAAATAAAAGAGACCTTCTTGACCATGTCTCCATGTTGCTCGAATTAAATATCAACAATGGCTAAGGCTATGATTGTGACTAGTACAGTGTTGAATATTGATGATGAAACAGGGTGTATCGGTGGTCTATTTATAGTCTTCAAGATGTCAGTGTTTACTTCTGATGTATGTACTAGTTTAATTTTTATAAAATTTAATCATTACTTGTGAGATAAGCAATCATAATCTGTATTATATATATATATATATATATATATATATATGTACATAACGTCTGAAACTAATACGAGCATGAACATGGAAGGGCGGTTTTGGATGCTTCAAGCTGCACGTATGGTTTCTTGAAAGAGCAAAAGATGCTTTCTTTAGAGGCAGGGAGTTGAGAATTGTATGAGATTCATGACCATGTAAGTCTGTAACTAAGTGTCGGGCTAATATTGTATATGTAATAATGGTAGATTGCTTGGCCATCTTTCATGGAGGGTTAAGGAAGATCTAGGTTTAAGAAATTTATTTTTAAAATTTACGAAAACCAGAGGTAGATTTTGAAATATCCCATTTTTTTATAATGGTGAACAAACACCATTGCCATGAGTAACATAAACGACCTTCTTGAGACCATTTTTCCATATTGTTTTAATTAGATATGTAATAAATAATCAATGGCTGGCTAAGATTATGACTAGTTGAGTATCGAATAATGATGATAAAACTGAATTAATTACAGATCTATATATAATGTTTACTTCCAATATATATATATATATATATATATATATATATATATCTTCTTTTTGATTTTTTTTTTCTGTTTTGTATATTCAATTATTGCTTGTGATATAATCAACTTTACGATTTGATTCAACGCCAAAAACTAGTACAAGCATGAACATGGGGAAGCTCTTTTGAATGCTTCAGGGTGGGAGTAATTCAGGATGCATTTGCTCGCTAGCTACCTCTTTTCTGTGAAGGAGATTTCCTAGGTCATACATATATATATATATATATATAAATATCTGTATATGTATATATACCTTTAATTCTTTAAACGGGAGAAGATGCTTTCTTCAGAGCGTAATTCGTAACTAATATATATATATATATATATATATATATGAAATTCATGAATAATGGGTCTGGATCCATTATCATGCTAATATTCTGTGCATAATAATGGTTGATTGCTTCGCCATCTTCCTGTTCATGAGGGGTTAAGGAAAGATATTTTCTTTTAAAAATTCATTTTTAAAAATATATATATATATATTTATAAAATAGATATATAGATAGTTCCTTCATTAATTGGCTATAATACTATATATAATAATTTTAGTAATCTTGTTTAAGACAGTTTAAACTTTTGAAATAATATATCTAACTAGCTCATTATGCAATTACTTTTATATATAAGTTATTTTCGTTCAATATAGTTTAAATAACTTTGTATGTATATTTGTGTATGTGTGTGTATGTATTTGTGTTTGCATACATGTGTTCTTTGTGTGTGTGTGTATATATGATGATGTGTACTCATTATGTATTGGCTTTGTGTGTATATATATGTATATATATATATATATATATATATATTAACTCTTGAATGGTAAGGAACATGCTTCTTGGTTTTCTTTTTTGAGATAATTTGGATGAACGACAAAGCATAATCCAATAAATACATAATCTTCAAAAGATAAATAATTTTTTGAGAAGGAAAAAACAATTAATTTACATGCATGTATATATTAATAAATTTTGGAAATAATTAATTACATGCATGTATTAAAATAATTTTAAAAATTAATTCTAAGACATAATATATTTACATGCATGTATCCAATTTATTTAGATTGATTTTAGAAATGATTAATTACATACATGTATTTAGGTTAGTTTTTGAAAACAATTAATTTATATTCATGCACTAAGGTTAATTTTTAGCAATAATTAATATTTTTGAAAACGTTACTTAATGTATAATTAATATTTTAGAATGATGGACTTTATATAATATAATATAATGTTAATATTTTATTGTTGATTTAAAAATTAGGGTGAATTGTGTACGGTTTATAGATTAATCGTATTAATTTCAATAATTATTAATTTTCACTACGTTTTAGTTTGGTATGATCAAAACATCACATAATTTGAATTCGTACTTAGCTCAAAAACGAAATCCAACCTTACGATTACTTAAAACAAACCCCGCAACTTTTTATCTCAAACACAATTGTATATGCAAGCTTGACTTATTAAAGAAGTTATGTTCGTGGCCAGTGATACAAAAACCCCCGCTTTGAGATTCCTCTTTAGATTTTCTTCAGCTTCATTAATCAACGAAGGTACAAAGACTACTTTCTCGTAACTTTTAAAATAAAAGATTGTGATTTCGGAAATATCATATTTGTTCGATCGATACAATATGTCAGTGAATGATGAGAATGAAGATCGATAAAAAAGATAATAAAAAAAAGAGTTAAAAAAAAAGTCGATGTAACGTTAAAATCGAAAACAAAAAGCAAAGAAGGGATGTGATGATAAAGATTCAGAGAAATATTAGGGGATCATGTCTTGGAAGGGAAGAGAAGAGAAGGCATGAGAGCCGAGAATAAATTTCTTTTCTCTTTGATTGTTGGACTAGGGCACGGTTATCGGCCCCTTGATTTTGCTGTACCCGGGCTCGGTCCGTCTGTGTTTTCCACTTCCCTCCATTCCAAATTCTAATTCGCGGGGTTAATATTCCCACTGTTCTCGCGTTAACGGAAGAGGAAACCCTAAGCTACTACTCTTTCCTTCGAATGAAAATCTTCAATCCGCAAATTAACTCGGAGTTCTAACAGGTGAGTCACCTTGCTTTTCCTTTCAACTGTCCTGCATGAGCTTCTCCGTCTTTCGCATATCAAAGTTAATAATCGAACTTCCAGAGAAAAAGACTTAAATCAGGGCTTACGCTTACGTTCTTCTTATGTAACCTTGTCATGGGTATCTTGGTTATGTGATTCGCCTTGAATCTTTACCAATTCGCTTCGCTTGGGGACATTTGAAGTTTATGGAGTGTATATATGGGGAACCTATGTAAAGATTTTTGATGGATATCCGTTGAATTTTAGCAAAAGAAATTCCTATCTAATTCTTTTTGTTTCTAGACGATATATGGGTAGCGTTGTGGAGAAATGCGTGGTTTTATGTTCTTGGTGGAAAGGAGAAACCCGTTTGATGTTACTGCATTCAAGACGATGTCTAGGTGGTGCTGAGGAGGAGAATTTAATTCCTTTCTTGGTTGGTTGTGCAAGCTTGATGGATTTGAAGAGAATTTGACAGGCTAGTGAAGAAACCTGGGATATTCAGAAGAATGGAGACCTCTGTTTCAAATGGATTGGGTTTGAGGAGGACATCTAGGAAGAAAGCGTGTATAAGGAATTATGATGAAAATTTGATGGATGAGTTGATAGAGAACCATTTGGGTGGTGCTCTGAGGAAGAGGAATAGAACCAGGGAAGAGTTAGAAAAAGAGACTGAAACAGAGGCTATGATAGCATTTTCTCTAGGATTTCCGATAGATGCATTGCTCGAGGAAGAAATTCAAGCAGGTGTGGTGAGAGAATTGGGTGGGAAGGAGCAGAATGATTATATTGTTGTGAGGAATCATATTCTTGCTAGATGGAGGAGTAATGTGCAGGTGTGGCTAACAAAAGGACAGATTAGAGAAACTGTGAGCAGTGAGTGTGAACATTTGATTTCTTCTTCCTATGACTTTCTTTTGCATAATGGATATATTAATTTTGGGGTTTCCCCATCTTTTACATCTTTTTCGTCTGAAGAGGCAACTGAAGCTTCTGTTATAATAGTTGGGGCTGGACTCTCTGGGTTGGCAGCAGCAAGGCAGCTCTTGTCATTTGGTTTCAAGGTTATTGTTTTGGAAGGAAGGAATCGTCCTGGTGGAAGAGTTCATACCCAAAAGATGGGTATGAAAGGCAAAGCTGCCGCTGTGGATCTTGGTGGCAGTGTAATCACCGGTATCCATGCTAACCCACTAGGAGTTCTTGCTAGGCAACTCTCTATTCCACTACATAAGGTTAGAGATAAGTGCCCTTTATACACACCGGGTGGTGCACCTGTTGATAAAGAAATTGACTCAAAGGTTGAGTTCATTTTTAATAAGTTGCTTGACAAAGTCAGTGAACTGAGACAAATAATGGGCAGATGTGCGAACAATATTTCTCTTGGTTCAGTTCTTGAGACACTAAGCCAGTTATATGCTGTGGCTAGTAGTCGTGAAGAGAGACAACTTCTTGACTGGCATCTTGCAAATTTAGAATATGCAAATGCTGGATGTCTTTCAGATCTGTCAGCCGCATATTGGGATCAGGATGATCCTTATGAAATGGGTGGGGATCACTGCTTTCTTGCTGGGGGAAATTGGAGACTGATAAACGCATTGTGTGAAGGAGTTCCAATATTGTATGGGAAGACTGTTACTGGTATTCGATATGGGAATGAAGGAGTGGATGTGATTTTTGATGGCCAAGTGTTTCAAGCAGACATCGTTCTTTGCACCGTGCCTCTTGGAGTTTTAAAAAAGAGGAGCCTCAAGTTTGAACCAGAGTTACCTGAGAGAAAGCTTGCGGCAATAGAGAGATTGGGTTTTGGTCTCCTGAATAAAGTTGCGATGGTATTTTCTCATGTATTTTGGGGGGAAGACTTGGACACATTTGGATGCCTCAGCGAAGATAGCAATCAGCGCGGAGAATTCTTTTTATTTTACAGTTATCATACAGTGTCTGGAGGTCCAGTACTAATTGCACTGGTGGCTGGAGAAGCTGCAGAAAGGTTTGAATGTACAGACCCGTCCACTTTGCTTCATCGTGTGCTAACCAAACTTAGAGGTATAATTGTTGATTAATGTGAAGTCACCTAGTTTTCATATAATTTTTATCATGTGCGTGATGTTGTTAGTTTTTCCTACGAAACTTCCTTGGTTCTTATTAATCTTTTGATTCTTCCTTGCAGGTATATATGGTCAGAAAGGCATAGACGTGCCTGATCCCACACAAACAATTTGTACAAGATGGGGTAGTGATCCCTTTTCCTGTGGTTCGTATTCTCATGTTATGGTACGATCATCTGGTGATGATTATGATATACTAGCTGAAAGTGTAGGAAGCCGATTATTCTTTGCTGGTGAGGCGACAACTAGGCAATACCCAGCCACCATGCATGGTGCCTATTTAAGTGGCTTAAGAGAAGCTTCAAACATTCTTCAAGCCACGAGCGGTAATCATAATTTTTCACGGAAGTCTGTACCAAGAAATATTAGAACAAACTGTGATATACTTGTAAATCTGTTTAGGAGGCCCGATTTAGAAATTGGAAATTTTTTGTTTGTTTTCAATCCGTTAACAGATGACCCAAAATCGAAGGGTTTTATGAGAGTAACTCTTGACTTTTCTGGAGATGATTCTAGAAAGGTTTCAAAGGACAGCTGTGAATCCCCTGTGAATTTACCTTTGCAGCTTTATACTGTATTATCTCGTGAACAAGCACAGGAGCTCCAACAGGTTACTGGAGGGGACAAAGGTAAACTATCATATTTGAATAAAAATCTTGGATTGAAGCTAATGGGAACAATTGCTCTGGTAAACATTGCTAACTCCTCAATCACTACCATTCGAAGAGGAAGGTTTAGGAGGAGTGCAACTTCTGCTCAATAAGAGTTAGATAGACATGTGCCATCACTATCAGTATACAACTTTCAGGCCTTCAGATTTAGCTTGGGGTCTGTTAATGCAACTCGTGCTTCCTTGAAGTTGTCATTTCCGTCGCAAGTGCTGCACTTGGGGATTTATTCATCAATTCCAAGCAGCTAAAGTTTCTTGTAGTTTGTTGTACTGGAAGCCATTTACACCCTCAAAAGATTGAAACCTAGAAATTTTTTTCTCAAAGAACCAGGTCAGTTGTGTTTGTAAGGGCAGCTATCCTGAACTGAGGATGAACCAGTAGTTGCCCATATAGTCAGACCCGTTCGAGAAGATTCATTATCTTTCCTTTTTTTTTTTTGGGAGACCTTGTGGCTCCGAGATTGTTTATGTGTACACTACATATTCATTTGAAATGCTTCTTCAGAGGTAATACTTCTTTTAACTGGTTCTGTGATATTTACCAGTGTCAGATGACATGTCTGCATTCCTAGGCATATGGTAGATAACTCTCTTTTATTGACATGATGATAGTACAAATTTATAGTTGTAGAAGTAAGGATAAGAGTGAAGATGGTCCAATTATGCATCAAATCTATAAGTTATTAATATATTATGTATATGTATATATCAAATAATTAAGATTAAGAATTGATATAAATAAAAGTTTCTCTTATCCACAAGACAAAGAGAGTCATGATAATGAAAATTTCATTTTAAAATTTGCAGGAGAGAATGAAACATAAGTTATGAGAAACTAAGTCAAACTGGATAAATATATTCAATCTAAATGCAAATCCAAGCTCACACCAAGTCAAACTGGGTAAATATAAACTATGCAAATACAAATCCAAGCACTGTAATATGAAAATGCAGAAAGTCTGAGAACAAATCCAAGCTCCATAATACTAAAATGCAAAAAGTCTGAAGATGAAACTTCGAATCTGGGTAATCATCAAGCCCGAGTGATGATTAGGACTGTCCATTTTGCATATAATCAACGCAGGTGCAGCAGGAACAGTCCTTAAAGCGACACTTGTAGCAACCAAAGCAGATACAAGTGGTGCAGCCCTGGCATTTTGGATCTCGTGTACATCCTCTGTAAACTTTTCGACTTGCCCTTTCTTCATCAAAATCACAGTTTATCCTAAAAGGACATATATACACACTACTCAGCACAAAATGTAGGGATTTGTAATTGAATATATATATATATATATATACAACAAAAATAATGATAAAAATTTACTTTTCATAAGGCCAGTTGGGGCAGCTCCACTTTTTATTAGCTAAAGCATCATGGAAGCGCCTGTATTCCTCAGCAGTGCGGACGCGGAAGCGACGGTCTTTTCTACACAATGTGCAGGTAATGAACTCGTCCCGGTGGAACTGCTGCTTCCCACGGACGAGCTTTGATCTATTGTTTAGGTTTGAAGCATTCTTGTAGTACACCAGCAGCCCAGATTTCGATAGCGGCACTTTTTCCCCATTGATCGTCACCCATACGTGACTCTTCCAGTTCCTTGTCCCTTCTCGATCAGCATGCTTCTCAAACTCATACGGTGACATCGTCACTAATACATACATATTTGTCAGTCCAACAAAGTCATATATATATGTAAAGAAAGAAAGGTATTAGAGGGAGACTTTACATTTTTCTGGGTAGCAGGAAGGACATTCACATGCAACCAAGAAGGTTCCATCAAAATAAATGTTTAGTTTGCCACTCAAGTCACCGAGTCTACTGTTCGTGCAACCACATAAGACCTCAATGTGGTCTTCTTCCCTCTCGTATCCATAAATCTCCTTCAACTTTTCTTCAGGCAACATCTTTTGATTACCACCGACCGGCACACGCTCAGGTACATGCTCAGGTAGGTGCTCAGGTTCGTGCTCAGGTACACGCTCAGGTTCGTGCTCAGGTACACGCTCAGGTACACGCTCAGGAGCCCATGATGGTAATAATGATGCTCTTGGTTTTCTCTTCGATCTCTTTTTCTTTGGAACTGTCATGTATATATATATACATACACCAAATAAATAATTATATGGGACATTATATGTATGTATGTATGTATGCAGTAGACATGCATGTATACACGCACGTGTCTCTCTGTGTGTCTTGTGTAAATATGCTTTTATTAAACAGATATGAATCGACCATATTAATAATCTCTCTCTTGATATGTATATGTATCAAATAATCATTGAAGCATATTTTAAATAACTACACTAAATAATATACATATATGTGTATATATTTGTCTAATAACATAGATTATTATGAGAGCTGTAGTTCATTAATACAGTGCATTTGCTATATTATACAAATATATATATATATATATATATACGCATTTTATTATGGGCTATAATTATAATGAATTAATTAAAGTATTTTGGGAGTATATGTGTATATATATATACAAGATAGATTTATAAAGAGTACAGCAACTTATAAAAACTTGTTTGTATAGATTCTAACATATAAAGATGAGAAAATGAGTGAAATTCCAATTTAAAGTAAATGCAAAAATCAAATGCTTAGTTCCTTAAATCTTATGTATATATATATATATATATGTATGTACATGTAACTACTCAATTTCTAACATATAAATATAATAAAAATGTGTTGAGCACAAATTGGTATCCATACACACACACACATATATATAGATGAATCAAAACACAAAAAAAGTCCTCTATGTTAACTAAATAAATAAATATATAGTTTAAAAATCATTAGAAACTAAATTTTTCATATCTATGACTACGAAGTGAATGAATTCTAATAATTGATTTATCTCATAAGAGAAAATATAAAATAGAAAAATCAAAATTAAAAGTCTTGAAGTAAATAGGGTGAATTAATAAATTTAAGATTTTTCGAATATAATAAAAAACAAGTTATAACTATATATAAAAGATATAAAAGTTTACTTATCTCAATAAATACAATCGACATCTATAAATTCAACAGAATCTAAATTCATTAGTAAAAAAATTAAAGACTTATAAGTGTTTTCTCCCATAGTCAATTCAAATTCAATTTAGCCAATTTTCAAGTATTTTTTTTTTTGTAAAAAATTAGATATTCATATAAAGATGCATAAAGCAATCTACAGACAAGTTATAACTATATACAAAATTATAAATGTTTATCTATTTTGATAAATACAATTGACATCTATAGATCCATTGGAATCTAAATTTATTGTGAAAGAAATTAAAGATTAAAAGTGTTTTCTTCTACAGTCAATTCAAGTCTAATTATGCCCAATTTTGAGATAATTTTTTTAAACAAAAAAAAATTAGGTATTCGTATGATCGTTACGAAGAGACATAACTAATCTATCAGTGTATAGACAAGTTAAAACTATGTATAAAAAATAAATATTTACCTAGCGCGGTATATACAATTTGTAGATCCAATAAAATCTAAATTCACTACTAACAAAATTGAAGGTTAAAAGTGTTTTCCCTCATAATCCAAATCCAATTACACCCAATAATTTAAAAAAAAAAACAAAAATTAGGCATTCATATGACATCACTAATCTATCCATCTATAATTTTCACATAATAAAAATGGACAGAAGATCTTCGCATAATAAAATGTAGGGAAAAAAAGGAATTACAAGGGAAAAAAAATTTTACCTTGTACCATTTTCAACCAATCATAAATGGTTTCAGAGATCTTTCGATCAGTTCGTTTTTTACTCACTTGATTCTTATTGAAGCT